ATCCTTCTTTATGGCAGAGCAGTGCTCCGTTGTGTGTAAATAACATACATTCTTTATCCATTCATCTGTTGATGGACATGTAGGCAACTTGCAAGATTTAGCTATTGTGAGTTGTGCTGCTATAAACATGAGTGTGCGTGGATCACTGTAACATGACGTCTTTAACGCTTCTGGGAAGATACCTGGGAGGGGAATATATGGGTCAAATGGACTTTCTCGTTTTAGCTTTTTGAGAAATCTCAGTAGCCGCCAACCCTGTCCCCGCAGGAGGCTCCTGGTGCTCGGTACTCACACACGGGGATGGGTGACCTGTGTTTCCGAGTGTGTGACAGGTGGGTCATGAGTCTCTCCTGCACTTGCTGGTGCGATTTCCTGCCCCTTTCCGTGTGCCCCAGAGATGGAGAAGGAGAGAAGCAATGGCAGACACCACTGCCTGGACAACGTAGCAGCAGCCGGTCCTTTTTCACGTCCAGTCTCAGCATAGTGACGGTTGAGTCTGGGTGTGTTCCTAGGGGGTGTGAATGCTTCATGCTACAGCCAAAGAGGATAACACAGTCCAGTCCTGGTCAGAAAGATGGAAACAGGAGCCTTAGAGGCTGTTGGGAAGGATTTTGATTTTCCTGCAGAAAAGACAGAGGCTGCTTGCCTTGCCCTTTCCTGCTTCTACCTTGCTTTGGATGCAGATGTGATGCCTATGGCTGTGGCAGCCCTATTGTGCCCATGAAGGGACCCTTTCCAAACCAAGGGGAAAGGTCAATCTGCAAGGATGACAGAGCAGACAGATGACAGAGCTGGGTCCACAGTGGCTTTGCTGAGTAGCTGAGCTGATTGTTATAACTGCCTACCTCAGATCTTGTTATAGCGAAAAAATTCATTGTCTTTTTGTCATAATTATCAATATATAAAGTGAGATAAAAATATATGGTGAGCAAATTTTAAAAATTTATCACAGTAAAAGACACATTGTCATGAATCGCCCTTAGAATCCTCCCTCTTGCTTAGAACACACTTATCCCATCGTCCTTACCACTTTCTGCAGCCGTCCTGCAGCCCTCTTTCCTGCATGTCTTTAAAAGATGTGATAAACAGGTGAGGGCTGCTGCCGAGTGCCATCCAAAGGAAATAAAACAGCGCTGTGTCCTCATCCTCCTCATTCACCAGGTCTGGCACTGTGTGACTCTGGCTCTTCCCCAAAGTCAAAATGACCATGAAGAGATAATGCTTTAAAGTGATTCAGGACATGGAAACAGCTAGGGCCAAAAAACTAAAGACACCCAGGAAAGAGGACTCCAGGGCTGCTGCAGGAAGTGGCAAAGACCATGGGATGAGTGGTTCAGTATGAGAGGGAAGATTTTGAAGGGGGTTAATGACAATGTGTCTTTTACTCTACTACATTTTTAAAACTTTAAATATTTGCCGTATTTTTGGATCACACCTTGCATGTTTTGTCTTTGTCCTGATTTCTTGTACACAGCTCCCTAAACTTAGCAAAATGATGACATCATGGTATGCACGCTAGTGAGGTCGCTTGCAGCTGGGATTCTTAGATAACTTCAGGTGAAGGCTTAATTACCAGAAAGTCCCAAACTTGAGTAGAGTTTTAGTCCCAAGCCCACCCCCTTCCCAACACTCACAGTTTTCTGTTTAAGTGTGTGTATGTGTGTGTATGTGTGCATGCCCATGTATATTAGGGTTATGTCTAGACATTCCCCCAAAGCTTCATGTGCTCATAGGCGAGGCTTTGGGGAGGTGACTGGGTCACAGGTGTGTGGTACAGGATTAGACCACTGATGGGTTTAGAGCTGGGTATGATACAAGGAAATTAAGCCTGTTGGGAAGAGGTAGGCCACTGGGGGCGTGGCCTGGGGGTAGATATCCCTTCACCTACCCCCTTAACTCTGCTTCCTGCCTTCCACACCATGGACTGTTTCTCCTCTGCCAGGCCCTTCTGCTGTGCTGCCCTGCCTTGGAGTCAGTGGACTATGGACTGAAACCTCTACAAATTGTGAGCCAAAATAACCTTTCCTCCTTTAACTTGTGGGTGTTGGGTATTTTTCTCCAACCACAGGAAAGTAACTAAGATTCTGTGTGTGTTTGTCACTGTCCTAGTGTGTATGAAGTGACCTTTCATGGTGACCTTGATTTGCATTTCCCTAATAACTAATGATGGTATATTAGAGATAGGTATATTAGTCACCTCCTCTTCATTCAAACTTAAGGAGGAGATGTTTATTTGACTAAAAGGATCAGTGGGTTCAGTCCATGGTCAGTTGGCCCTGAGCCAGAAACACATGGCGGTGTGTGGAAGGGTGTGGCAGAGGATAGCTGCTCACCCTATGGCAGCCAGGAATTAGAGAGGGGCAAAGGAGCTGGGAATAAGAACACACCCTTCCAGGCCACACTGCAGTGACCACCTCCATCAGGCCCCACCTCCATACGCAAGACTTTTGGGGATATTTTAGATGGAAACCATGACACCCTGTCTTGTGCCTCTTGGCCGTTGTTAGATCTTCTTTGGAGAAAAGTCTAGTCAAACCCATTGCTCTCTTCTTAATTGTTACTGTTGAGTTGTAAGAGTTCTTTATATGCTCTGATAGCAGGGACTACTCAGACAGATGATTTGCAAGTATTTTAAATGGAATGTTATCTTGGTTCTCTCCCAAACCTCCCCAAAGCAACAGCAAAAAGAATAAAATGGGGTGTGTGCTAGACAGAGGACAAGAAACAGAAAGATGCAGACAAGAGATTTCTGAAGGCCTGAGTGGTCTCTGGCTATGCAGGGAAGGAAGTCACAGCTCAACAGCTCAGCGTGCCTGAGCTGCCCCGAGCAGAACCTGGTACAGGACCTGGGCCTTAGCATGCCCAGACTTCCGGTGCTAGAGGCTGAGCCCAGTGCTTCACCCTGCACACCCAGGGGATGGAGCCCCCCAGAAACGACAGCCTTCTGTTCTGGAGAAATAGGTGCTGTTCCCTCCACACAGCTCAGGTGTGGTGGCTCAGGTTGTGGAGGGCCAGAGTGCAGGCCTCTCACTCAGCAGGCAGGTGAGGTCGGTGGGACTCTGGGCAGAGCCTTCTGCTGTTTCCTCCCCTGTCCCCAAAGGTGGGCATCTGGGCACTTCTACTGCAGGTCGGAGACTGGAAGGTTCTTTGACAGAACCTGCTGGCCCAAGGAAAAGTCCCCCGGTCTGGGCACTGGGGATAAGGCAAGGCACGCGTGGATCTGACCCCAGCCCCATACATGACCTGTCCACGTCCAGCCCATGCACAGCCAGGGCGCAAGACAGAGAAAGACAGCCCGCACCTGCACCCCAACCAGTGTCCAGTAACATTAAACTAGACCCTCAGAGAGAGAAGAGAGGTCTCGGAAAAAAGGACAGAATGTCACGGAAAATGATCAACAGAGTCTTGAAAATCAAAAACATAACTAAAATTTTTGAAAAATTAAGAGACAGAATTGGAAGATAAAATATTGGAACTTCCCAGAGAATAGAAGAAAAAGTCAAAAGTGTGAATGATATGGCTGAGAAGATAAGAAAATTAAACAATCAATTTAGAATTCTAGAAAGGAAAATAAGAAGAAAGTGAAAGAGGGAAATTAGTAAAGAAACATTCCAGGAAAGAACTTCAGAACTTTTCGGCATAATAATCATCTAGCCCAGGAAATGGGGGAAACACCAAAGTGCATTGGGAATAAGGAAAAAGTTCTAGGAGCTCCCAGGGAGGGACAAAAATACATTGCGCTCAAAGGGTTGGGAGGCATAATGACGCCGAATGTCTCAAGAGCATAATGGAAGAGAAATGACAATTGAGTAAAAATATGCAAAGACAGAATCTTGAATCAAAGATCTGTATTTTCCAGCTATTAATCAAATTTGAAAGCAAATATTTTTAGATGGGTACAATGTCAAAAACAAAGTTGCTTTTTCAGCAACCATTATTGGGAAGCTGCCAGAGGATTTGCTTAAAGCAAAAGAAGGGAAAAGAAAATAGAAGAGAGAGATGTTGCATCCAACAGAGCAAAGGAACAATTGAGAAGTCCTGCAGGGAACCCTGGCATGCAGTACACTCAGTCCGGAATAAAGAAGGAAGGGGAGATATGTAAGAAAAGTTTCTTGGGAATTGACAGAATGGAAGGAACATCTGACATGCTTGGTAACTTAGAAAAGGGTATTCACAGTCATTTTACAAATCCATTGGAAAGTATGGAGAAAAAAATTAAAATAAGAACACGGAAAATGAAGTGATGGAAAACACTGAGGCCATGATTAACTCCAGGAGCATACCAAAACTTGTAAAGAGATCCAACCACAAGACAGCCTCCCTGCCTCTGCAGTGGGCAGGTTTTGCAGTCCTGATAACTTAATCCCGGTGCATAATCCTTCGATCACTGTCACTCCTGAAAGGCGTCTTAGCAGAATAGGGTGGGGGGTGGTGGTGGGCTGGCTATTCCAGGGTTACAGCCTCATCTAGCTCAAAGGGAAGTCAGTAGATTGTTTTTAACCCTGATAATGGAAGAAATTTCAGCATCTGCCTGTTATTTAGAAATGGCAGGAGTTGTATTCAGAACAAACAGCCTGGGTGGTTGCTGGTGAGGGGTACACCTGGGGATTAATAATTAAGAGTAAAGGAATCAATGTTTTTGTTTTGCAGTAGTGGGGAATGAACCTAGGGCCTTCAAACAGAGCTACATCCCCAGCCCTTTTAATTTTGTAAATTTTATTTTTTAAATTTTGAGACAAGCTCTCACTAAGTTGCCCAGGCCAATTTGAACGTGTCATCCTCTTGCCTCGGCCTCCTAGAGTACTGGGATTACAGGTGTGCACACCACACTTCACAGAATCAGTGCTTTCTCTCGCCAGTCCCATTGTATTGTTTCATGTAAAAAAACTGTTTGACACTCAATTCCAAAACCAAACGGAGGTCCCATTTGCAATGCGTGTTGTGAAACCAAGTATTGAGAAAGTTTACAGTCCATTTGCCTGTGAGAAAAATGGCCATGACGTTCCTATTCCACAGGACTCGGGCGACTTAGGGTTCCCTACATTCCTACATCATCCGCTTTCCCAAGATGCACACCCTGTATTTCTGAAAACCCTTGTGATTTAGAGAGAAAAAGGGAGAAAACAAATGTGTGGGACTCCAAATAGCTTAGCTGGAAAAAAAAATCACAGCCCAAAGCACATATTTATTTGTATCACAGCAAAACTCCTCAGATTTGGTTGGAGCAACTTGAGATCATTAGCGTCTGCGTTAGTGTCAAATGTGTTACCACACTGTTTTCCCAGGGAGAAGTGGGCTCCTCGCAGATAAGTGGGAGACCGGAAAGAGGGAGACAGCGGGCCAGGAAGCGTGACTCAGACGTTCCTTTCAACTTAATTAGTGGCCCTGCCAATTTACTCGTTGGAAGGGGAACTCGTCCCACACCCTCTCGCGTCTAAGATGTTGAGTTGGTCTCACCCACGACGGTGTCTGTGCCACGCGTGTCGGATGGACTGGCTCGCTGGGTACCGGCCGGCAGACGCGGCTGGGTCCTGGCTGCTTTCCTGAACCTTCACCCCTCCTCCAGGGCTCCCTAATGCTCGTGGATTCCTCCAAGCTCGTCCAAGTCCCAGAAGGTTGCTAAAAGAAATGACGGTGTGTGTGTTGGCTCTGAAACAGAATGGCAAAGTGCTTTCCAGTTGGGAGAGTTGCTGAGAAGCTGCACCAAGTGCAGACCGAATTTGATCCAATAAACACTTACGGGGTGCTGCGGGCCATTCTGCTGGGGCGTGGAAATGACTAAGACCTGGAACTGCCGGGTCAGCACCCCTGTCCCTGGCTGCTCTTCTGTCCCGCAGAGCTGGAGAGAGCCCTCGTTGTCTCCTGGGTTGGAGGGAAAAGGACGCAAGTGACCCAGCTCCAGCTGCTTCTGTCAGTCTGAGAGGAGTGGGCTGGCGGGCCTGGAACTCAGGGGAGAGTGTGTGTGTGTGTGTGTGTGTGTGTGTGCTTTGCGGCTTTAAAAATATTTTTTTGCTACTTCTATGCATCCTAAATGCAAATCAGTCTTTGATGATGAAAATATTTTAATGGACAGATAACGATTGTACAAATTTCTGGGTGAGCAGTGATTTGAGCAACTCCTTTGGGGAGAATTCCAGTTTGAGACCTCAAGTCATGTAGACTTGGGGTTTGCGTAGCTGCCTTTCCTGTTGGGTCCCGTGGGTCCCCTCTCCAGCCCCACTGCTCAGGCCTCTTTCTCTGTGAGCCCTTCTGTTCCCGGTCCCTACCTGCAGGAAGGTCTCGGCAGTCCCTTCCCTCAGGCGCCTTTCCCTTGGGTAGCAGCAGTGTCTCTCGGTCCAGACCTTCTCTGGGTCTTGGAAAGGGCAGAAGAGCCTGGCTTGGCTGGCTGCAGCCTGGACGGGGCCTCTCAGACCCCTCTGACCCCCGAGCCCTCAGCACCCAGTGGTTGCCAGAGTCTGGCTTTGCTTCATCTTAAAGGTGAAGAGCCTCAGAAGCCTGGAGGAGGTGGGAGGTTCTCCAACTTGGTCTCCACCTTCTCGAAGGGTCTTGGGATTGCAGAGTCAGCCTCCTGAATGTTGAAATACAGGCACTCTGCGTTTGGTCAGCTCCGCTATTGTGGTAGGTCACTCAAGGCCCAGTCAAGGAAACAGAGAGGTGAATGTGGACAAGTGAACAGAAAGGCATCGGAAGGGCTGCAAGTGTAAAGGGGAAGAAAAGGAGTGACACATGAGCCCAAATGGCCAGCCCGCACTGGTCTGCTGGGGAAGAGTACCCCGGACCAGGGCTTCCACAGCTGAACCTGGAATCGCCCCATCCTGTCCTCCTGTCGCAACACTGGAGCCAGAGAGAGAGCTTCACGTCCCCTCCCCTCTGATCCTCAGGCAGTATCCCCACTGGCCGAGCCCAACAGAGAGCCTGCAGCAGGGAGGACGGAGGGGAGCTCGCTGCTGAGGCAGGGTGGCCCCCTGAAGGGCTCCCCGTGCTGTTCCAGTGAAGGGTAGTGCGACAGTGTCACTCTGCGGGGCTCTGGACTCTCAGTCCTAAGACTCGGCCTTGCTGTTGGAGGCGCACACTGTGAGACCTAAAACCACAAGCTGTACTTTGCCCACCTGCTTGTGATAGTGTTCAGCCGTCCCTGGCAACAGCTACCCCAGTGTCCCAGGTGTAACCGTTTGCAGTTTGGGTGCGCAAGGCACAACCAATCAGGTTTAATTGCCAATCTAGAACCTTGCTGTAACTACTATAAAAACCCCTGCTGATTTGGAGTCGGGGCTCTCAATCTTGACCCGCTGCGGCGGTGACGGTTGGGAGTCCCTGCTCGAGCCTGAATAAACGACCCTCGTGTGTTTACATCGGAATCGGCCCCTTGGTGGTCTTTGGGGACCTCGAAATCTGGGCACAACACACACAAGTGTTGTGTACACACTAGTCAGCTCGGGCTGTTAGTGCAGAACACCAAATGGGCCACTTGCACCCAGCAAGGGGTCACTTCTCCAGTTCTGGAGGCTGAAGGTCTGCGGCTGGGCCCGGTGCTGAGGTGGGCTCTGTTGGGTCGCAGACGCAGAGTCCAGAGAGCAAGCCGTCTCTCCCAGAACCAAGCCTACCCGTGACGGCGGCACTGTTTGGACTCAGTCTCCTACAGCCGTCTCTGTGGGGCTTCGGAGTTTAACACAGGGCATGTGGGGAAACGGCCTTCTAGCTACAGCACTGCAGGTTTATGAAGGGGGTCTGAGGCCAATTTTGTACTGCTCTGTAAAAATAAAGACAAAGAGGAAAACCTATTCTTTCCCTTAAAAATTCTCTAGACAACTGTATGCAATAATGATTATACATGGAAAAGTGGCTCTTTGCATGCCAAAAAGAAAACACGTTTGGCAAAACAATACACAAAGCTTCAGAACCTCAAAAGAAGCTCCTTGCTTGGGAGAGAATGTGCTTCAAAATGTCTATCTACAGGAAAATAGTCTACAGAAACACTATCTATCATCTTTTTTTAATTCAAAAGTACTGTGTAATAGATAATATGAATTAGGAAGAAACTGTTCAAAAGGAAAGGGAACAGTGAAGCAAGGGAGGGAGGGAAAAATCGATAAAAGAAGATAAAAGGAAACAAAGCTTTTGTAAATAGGTGGAGGGTGGGTTGAAGGCAGGGAAGGGGAATGGGAGAAAAAGGAATGGAGCCATATCATCTACAGGTGCAACCCCCCTTTGATAAATGTGATCATTATTTATATTTAAATCATACCAATAAAATTAATTAGTTAAAAAGTACATGTTAGGGTTTTTAAGTTTATTTTTCTAAGAGTTTAAAAACTAATTTTAAAGTTATTTATGCTTAGTATTGGGAAACAGTAAAAAGCATAATGGCAAAAAATTATTACAGACCTTTTGGTGTACTTGCCCTGTCTGACTTTTCTGGTATGAAGAGAAGCTACCCATAGCTCTCCTTTACAAATCTTTAAAAAATAAAAGTGAATTTTGTATAAATTACTACGTAAATCTTTTCCTGTCAACATAAGTTTTAACTCTACAACATAGTTCTCAATGGCTGTTTCCAATCTATGGAAAGAACAAAACACTCTTCTTTAACTGACTTGACAGACTGGGTATTTAAAGAGCTTCCTGTAGCTCGCAAACGCTGCCATGAACACGGGCAGTGTTTACGCAGGACTTCGACCATTTCCATGGGAGAGTGGAGCAATCCAGAGACAGAACTGCTGTTAGAGGGTGTGAGTGACCTTAAGGCTTCTGACCCGCAGAGGTAAAAATTCTCCAGATGCGGGGATCTGACTCCCACAGGCAGAGCACCACATCGCCCACTCCAGGGTCTCACACCGAGGAAAAACCAAAACACACAGACTCCGATAACAGCAGGAGAGAACTGTTTACAGTTAAATACTTCATTTCACCTCTTTTGAGATGCTCCTTCTCTTTCTTCCTTTTCTAACATCGCTGGCTGGTATCAGTGGGCCGAGCATTTTCACGTGTGCTGCTTGCCCTGCGTGATTATAACAGCACTTCCTGCCTTTCTCTGGAGTTGGGTTTCTGTCATAAATGATGCAATGATGACGCTGGGAGTCCACTGACCCCACAAGGAGGTGGCTTTGGACAGAACTGGGTACCCTGGAGCTCCCGGGAGGGACCCTCGCCCTGGCCTGGAAGAGCGGGGTGGCTGAGCAAAGTCTGAGGGAGGAGGGGAGCTCTCCCTAAACAAGGCTAGAGGTGGTCGGAGCCCCGGGCGGCCAGGAGGTAAAGTCAGAGTAGGGCAGTAGCTCTGAGCATGGACCCACATTTGTGTGATAACCGTCCTAGACCTGGGTTTAGACTTTGAAACTCTTCTGAAAATGTGAGGGCCCAAAGCTATGAGTAAAGGGGAGACCTGGAGATGAACTTGGCAGTGAGGCTGAGAAGGAAACTGAGGCAGGGAGATCGGAAGGACAAATCGCATGAGAGTCCAGGCCTCGGACTCACACTGGCGCTGCTTTTGTCCCACAGAGTCCATGTGGTAGGGACACCAAGGGGGTCTTTGGTGCTCCTGTTCCCCACATCACCCTGTGTCACCCCAGGTGTGCACCCTGTGCTGCATGGGGCTGGCAGAGGGAGGTCCTAGCCCAGAAGAGGTCTTGGAACCTCTCCAAATCTGTCTCCTCATCAGCCAAGCAGGAGGGCACTGGCCCACGCCCACAGTGGGAGCCGGTCTTTTTGGAGACCAGAAGCTTCCAGCCAGCTCTCTGTCCTTCCCAGTGGCCTTTGTACCCAGCAGGATCACATGGCCCGCCCGTCCCTGACAATGCCACGTGACAGGAGCTTGCTGGTGTGGCTTCCGGGAAAGCTGTTGCTTCCCTTTCAATGAGGACCAGCTGCACTGGCATGGGCCTGTGCCTCTCTGCCTCCCCTTTTCTTCTTGCTCAGGGCACAAATGCTGTTCTTGGGGCAGGGCAGCTGGCAGTCATCCCGGAGGGTGGAAGCCACCTGGCCGGGGCTGCTGGCCCAGGGTCTTGGGCTGCTGTGACTCTGAAGCAGCTGTACCAGCCCAGAGCTGCTGCGTGTCTGGCCTTTTTGTCACACGAGAAAAATTAAAATGTTATGTTAGTTAAGCCACTGTACCTGGGTTTTCTGGGTTGAGTGTAAATGTCTCTAGTGACTGTGGAGAGGAATGGGCCACACACAGAAAGCCCCATCCCTTGGGCAGGGCGGCAAAGGGACTGTTCAGAGGTCACAGTGCTGAGAGATTGGCAGGAGGCAACACAGATTTTCCTGGAACCCAAGGGCAAGGGATTTCCAGCCCAGACTGAAATCTCCATCCAGAAATCCCCATCTCCTGCACTCTGGCCTGTCTGTGCTTTCTACCGGTGGCCTTGTGTTGAAATGACTTGAAAGTTCTGCAGAAATAATAAGCTCCATTCACTACAGGCAGGAGCTGATTTGGGAGTCATCTGAGGCTACGGGAAAAGTGGGCCCATGAGGGCCACCAACAGAAGTACTACAGGCAGCTAAGTTAGATAGCAATTAATACACAGCTGGAGAGGGACTGGGTTCTCAAAGAAGTCCATGACACTACCAGACATCAGAACTGCGGCTGGAGGTGCATCTGAAGAAGCCAAGGCCTCAGGATAAAGTCACAGTGGCCAGCCTGGCATGCTTCCCTAAGGGACAAGTGGAAATTTGAGATTATACTGCAATCGGTACCACCCAGTCCATTAAGTCCAGATATGCCACCGCCTTGGGTGACCAGGACACTGGACCCATCCCATCCCATCCCAAAACGTTCCTGTTTTAGAGGTTTTAGATAAGCTAAGTTAATGACATCAGCCATGTACATTCGGGCCCCGCTTCCCTATTGGGTCAGTATTAGCTAAGTGGCTATACTTGTAATCTTATTGGCTGATGATAGTATGGCTCACGTTGCACCCACATTTGTGACCCTGCTGTATAAATTACCCCTGACGAAGGGCCTCGGTGGCCACCCACTCCGGATCTCTCCTGTCTCTCAGGAGCTATTCCTAGTTCCCAATAAACTTTCCCACTCTTTCCATTGTCCTTTGTAATTCATTCTTCGATTTCAGGGGACACAAACTTGGCATCTCTGACACCCAGCAGGTTGGGAGTTCTATTTCTCCTATATTAGAAGTGAGACCAGGAAGGAATACTTAGGGGTCCTGCTGTCCCCAACTCAGTTTTCCAAATACGACAGTGCCGCGAAGGACTGGTAAAGAGCAGATCAGGCAGACTTCCAGGGGCTGGGGCCTGCCCTCAAGCAGAACTCAAATGCCACCCCAACTCTACCGCCGAGCAGTTGGCCCCCATTCTGCAGAGGCAGGCAGGACTCGGGGCAGTGAGACCTGCCAGGGCACCTGTGCTGGGTGCCCCTTGGTTGTCGTTGCTGACCGCTACTCAGTTTGGGGCAGGACAACCAACCCGAGTCCAGCCAGTGGCCATGGCTGGGCTCAGCAGCTATTGTGGCTAAAATTTGGAAATAGAAAAAAATGTATAATGAGAGGAATGATTTGTTATCTAAATGGTGAAGCCATGCAAAATACTTCCAGGCTTTTCTAGCCCAGAGAAATGCCAATAATCAATGTGTGCAAGTACTGTTGTTTTAAACATAGGAAAAAATGTTGTCTTTATTAGTGGAAAATGGGTTTCTCAGAGCCTCTACAAACTGAGTGTTGAGTAGATATTTTTAAAAATCTGATTTAAAGGCGTGCCAAAACAGAAGCCTGAAGTACACCTCACAAACTTCCCAGGGAGAACTGGGGACAGGAGTCGAGTCCTCA